TTCTCCTTTGTTCTCCTGCCTTTTTGGCAGCCTCTGTTACAGTCTTTCCCTCCAGCTGAGAAACTGGAATGGGCTATTTTTAAAGCCTGACAAAGCCTGCCCATTAGCGGTAGCAGTTCAGACAGCATTTCTTCTCTTTGGCCAGAAAGGAAATTTGAAAGTCTCAGACCTAGAAATGTATGTAACACATTTTTATATCCAGGATTTATGTCGTCCCCATGAAATGTTGCCAATGCAAGAGGTTAAGGACAATTGCAATGACTCTGTGAACCCGATCCACAACAATAACCAAAGGGGAGGGCATTAGTAAAATGTTCAGGAAACAATCTAGGACCAAAGATCATCAAATCTTTCAATCCAGGCAGTAGCCAATTCATTGCCTGAAGGTATAAGATCTCTTCCCATAACAGGGAGAGAAATTAAAAAGGAAAGAAAAAAAACAACCTATTCAATGCAGAGGTAATACTCAAGGATATTACCAAATTTGAAGCTTTCCTGTAAGTTATATTAGAACATGGAAAGTGCTTAGTGGAGTACAAATGGTACATCAATAAGAAAGACCAACATGAAATAAAAGTAATAATAAAAAAACAACCACAGCACATGTCTTGGAGTAACTGAGGGCAGCCTGGCATAGCTCAAAAAGCATGCATGCTCTCTGAAGTCTGACAGCTCAATTTACATCTCTCCATGGCCACTTACTGCATAGGATCTTCATTAAATTCCTTAACCGCTATATGAGTCAGTTTCCTCACTTGGAAAGTGAGGATAATAATTCCTACCTTGTAGGTTTGCTGTGAGGATTAGAGGTAATGGATGAGTTTCTTTCTTATCAGTGTATTTATTACCTGCAACCCTGCAGTCAGGAGCTGGTGCTTGGAAGAATAACTCCTCATATCATGAAAACAATCACGAAAGAACTGATCTCATAACATTGATATCCACTCAAACATTTTCCTTACCTTAACAGTAGCATCATTCTTGGTTTGTTTCAAATTATTTGATGATCTTCAGCTGATTATTTGAAGTTTACAGTATCTTATGCAATTAGAGTGCTCGTTGATAGTATATTAATAATGCATATCTTAAAGTACAGAATTCCATGAAACACATAAAAACGCTGATGAAGTACTGGAGAGAGACAGCATAGATTAGTGCCAGATTCTACCTGTTCAAATACTAGATCCATAAGTGACTGAATGCATAACCTTGAACGAGTACGTTAACTTTTCTGTGCCTTAGTTTCCCCATCTATACAATAAAAATGATAATACTATTTACTGCAAGGCTTCTGTTATGAGAATTGAATAAAGGAAATATTTGTAAAGTGCTTAGCATAATGCCTGGTAAGTCATAAAAATACATGAGTATTTACTAAGTAATCAATGTTAAAAAACAACAACACACACACAACAAATAACTCCATAGCAAAGCCATTCAAAATGAAGTAGAATGATTCAAAACGGGAGAAAACCCAGAAGGCTCATGACAGGCTAGAAACAAAAGCAGATAATTATTTGATGATCATAGAAGTTGAGAAGCATTTGCAAAAATGGATGAAGTGCAGGATTATTTTCCTATTAAAAAAAAAAGTGGCGTGTTTGTTACTGGGCGGCTGAAGTTGAAGATGAGTGTGTGGTAGCTGGCTTCCCAGATGGCCCCCAAGGAGCTCCACTTCCTGGTATTCACACCCCATGTCATCATCCCCACCTCCCATATTTTACCAGGGCGGTCTGTGCAACCAAGAATGGAAGGGATGGTATGTCACCTTCAAGATCAGGTTGTAGACACACCCTGCTTCCTTCTCATTCATCCCCTTGCCCATTCGGTCAGTCTCTCCGGTCTCTCACTCTAGGGAAGACACTTGTCATCCCAAAGCAGGTCTCTGGGGAATCCAGGTGGGAAGGGTCTGAGTGAGGCCTTCGTCCAAAAGCCTGAGAAGAACCAAGGACTCCTGCTAACAGCCACGTGAGCTTGGAATCGAACCCTCCAACCCTGAGACACCTTCAAATGACTGCAGCCACTTTGGCAACTTGTCTGCAACCTCGTGACAGAGGCTGGGCCAGAGCCATCTGGCTAGGTTGCTCCAACCTGCCCCACCAAAATTGTGTGAGATACTAAATGTTAGTATTTTGTGGCTACTGAGTTTGGGGTTATTTGTGATGCGGCGATACATTATTAATATAGGATTAATACCGGAGTGTGATATTTTGCAAACTTAAAGAAAAAAATTACACCTCCCATATCGATATAATTTACAGTCTTTGTTCTGAAAATTAGCAGATACTTGTGACTTCCACTTTTCAAGAGAAAAAGAAAACTTTTCAAACTTTAAAAAACTATGTAATAAATAATTTTGATTCCCTGTTAACCTACAAAGACTTATATAATCTGTGTGCTTCTTACTTATCCCATCTTCTACTCTCTCCCTCTTTCTCTTCACTTCATGCACACTGACTTCTTTTTTACATTTCTGGAACATGTCAGGCATGCTTTCACCTCAAGGCCTTTGCACTGATTATTCCTTCTCTCTTAGTTTCTCTTCCCCAAATATCTGATTATTTCACTCTCACCTCCTTCAAGTCTCTGTTCAAATATCTCCTTCTCAGTGAGGTCTATCCGTAACACATGATTTGAAGTTGTAACCCTAGCCCTTCACACTCCTGATTCTTCTTATGAAATTGTATTGCCTCATAACACTTCTACTAATTTTTCTGTGCATCCTTTTCACTGAATGCCAGTTCCATGAGGGTGGAAATTTTGTCTCTTTAATCATTCACGCACTAATGGATCCTCATTACATAGAACAATACCTGACACTTAATAGGTGGTCAATAAGTATTTGTTGATGTGAGCTTAGGAAGTAAATTTCGTTCCATGGCTTTTTTACAGTTCCACTTATGCTTGGGTAAGGATGACTGCCTGTTACTAAATTTTCTGACTCAGTAGGTTGTCAATAAACAGTAGCTGTGATCTGAATGCAAACCTTTGTTTTTTTGTGTTGTTTTTTTTTTTTTGTGTGTGTGTGTGTGTGTGTGTGTGTGTGTGTGTGTGTTTAAGGGTATTAGCTTCAATGATTTACAAGTAATAGCTAGGTGCAAAAGACTACCGAGTTGACATGAACGGATCTGTGAACTTACTGTCTAAAGAAATCTTTATCACCATATATTCCAAGAGCAATATATCTCCTCAAACATGCATGTAAAAAAGCATCCAAGTCTTTACTTTTAATGCCCAGAACAAATGTACTTTATTTTTATTACCAATTTGGCATCAGAAAATAGCTTGACTCACTGTATCTAGGTAAACACTAAAGACATAAATCAGATGATGGTTCTAAAAAGTTTGAGAGGATCATGACATCAATTTTGAAGACTTCCAGGAGCCTTGTATAGAAAGGGTTATTATAGAAAGGCCCAATAGAGCCGCCTTCATGGATCTGTGGCCTGAGCAGTCACACAGAACCCTGTGATTAGAAAGACCCAGAGCTTAGTTTATCACTCTACTGCTCCTGTCTTAAAATTCTTAATAATATATGAAGAAGGGGCTCCATTTTCATTTTACACTGAGTGTGCTAATTATGCAGCTGGTCCTGAGGTCCAATAATATTAAACTGACTACATACTTTTCGAGGAAATAAGCAGAGATGCAATGACCAGAGAGGAATATAGAATTCCTTTGAGGTAGATACCCCAGCCCTCTTCCCAGTTCCTCCTGTAGGAGGAAAAGTGGAGAAACAGTAGCAGTAAGTGGTGCACTGCTTGCCACCCAGTGTGTGGCCTGTGCTACCAGCAGCAGCCACAGCCCCTGGGAGCTTGTTAGAAAAGCAGAACCAGGATTCACTCCAGAACCATTTCCTGTGCAGAATTTGCATTTCCTGTGCACTCTATTTTTTACATTATTTCTTTTTAAAATTGTTACGTTTCAATTGCAGTTGACACTCAATATTCTTGTATAATTGTTTTAGGTGCCTTGTGCACTTTAAATTTGAAAAACAGTGACTGTTTCAAGAGCCATCCAGGACCTGTGACAATGGGCATTTGACACCTAGTCTCTTCAAAGGGGGTTCTCTCTCCTCCCACCAAAGCATCCTCAACCTGAGCTGCTGCCAGATGGGATGTTAACTGATCTGAACATTACTTTTGTCCTTTCTGTGGCCCATTCTCTAGGACTGGGTTCATATGAAGTGAAAATGTTTAAAAAATAATATTAAAAACAAGAAGAAAGCATGAAAATGGGGTATTCAGAATTAAGCTGAGCTGGTGGAAAGCAGTGTAACAACAATAAAATGGGGGTGGGTACCTTAAAAATAATATAAATAGCTAACACTGAGCACTTAACATGTGCCAGGCATCATGCAGTGTGTTTTATGTGCGTTGCTTTATTTCAATTTCAGCACAAATTTAAAAAAGAGTTACCATCTCTATCTTTCTGTGCATCTGGAGAAACAAACTTTGAAAGTTTCGAAATGGCTGCACTATAATAAATCAAGACATTGGGCACTGTTTCCACAACCGTACATTCTTTGCAACATACGGTAAGCAAACATCTGCTGAGTGAATATCTCCGTGTAAATTCGCAAAGCATTTCAGAGTTAGTTTCTGAGCATGAGGGACCATTGCAGAAACAGCAGGATTAAGGTCAAGATCAACTACTTTCCATTTGAGATCAAAGGAAGACAAGTAAAGGCCTTCATTCTGGACGTGCAGGTCACCCCAGTTTGTATGCCCATGACCTGTATGAAGAAGGACTCCCTGGCTTATTTCCAACAGATGGAGATGAAGCCAGAAAGCACGTGGCCAAGTGCCTTATGCTTCTTCCCCTAAAACCAGGGCGAATCTCAACAGCTGGCAGCTCAGCGGACTCGCAGGTACAGAGCAGGGGAACTCGGCGAGCGCCTTCAGTCTGCCTGACCACACACCCCGCCGTGCTGCTCCCGCCCCCCAAGCCCTGCGGGGAGGAGCCGAGGAATCGAAAGGAAACCCTTGGGGCGGTGGCGCCCGGGGCCTGGGCTCGGGCATGGAGCTGCGGGCGCTCTGGCTGCTCTGCTGGTGCGGGTGCTGGTGCTACGGCGGAGGCCACGGAGCCGGTCCCAGTGCCACCTTCACCCGGACGGGACCGCGGAGCCGCGAGCAACAGGCAGCCGCCTTCCGGGTACCGAGCGCGCCCCCCTGTTTGTTTCTTTCTCGTCCTTTCCTGTCCTGAGTCTGGGCTGGGGCCCAGGGGCCTCCGAGCGCGGAGATTCCTGGGGATCCCCTCGCCTGCTGAGTTTCTGAGTTGGGGTTACACCCCCCAACTTCTCCCTGCGTCCCCCACGTGCCTGGCTCTCGCCCTCTCCCATGCCTTTGCTAACCCAAAGATTTGATTTTCCAAAGAAGTGTTGCCGCCGTGGATGTCTATGATCCGTCCCAAGTGATCAATGGATAGGTCCGAAGTATTCTTGCTTAGAAGCTCCCCTTTTAGCCGAACCCCCTGGCGGTGCTCACTGCCTCCCAAGCTGCCTCCTTTCAGTTACAGGAACCAGAGGCTTTAGAAACCTGCCACGCTTCTTCCGGAGGGGGGCGCTGGCCACCTCCTTCTGGGATCAGAATTGTCTAAAGCAGTAGTTCTCAACCTTCCTAATGCCGCGACCCTTTAATACAGTTCCTCATGTTGTGGTGACCCCCATCCATAAAATTATTTGCGTTGCTACTTCATAACTGTAATTTTGTTACTGTTATGAGTCGTAATGTAAATATCTGATATGCAGGATGTATTTTCATTGAACATAATGAAAGCATAGTGATTAATCTCAAAAACAATATGTAATTATATATGGGTTTTCCGATGGTCTTAGGCGACCCCTGTGAAAGGGTCATTAGACCCCCAAAGGGGTCGCGACCCACAGGTTGAGAACCACTGGGTAAAGTGCCTGCATTGGGCAAGCCCGGAGAACCTTGCCCACATATGACTTTCCTGAACTGGGGCTCTGTAGACGCGTGCACCACCTTATTAAAAGTTCCCCTGACTCGGTGGAGACTGATGTAGAGAAAGGGAAAGCATTGATTTCTTTTTCAGATTATTTTGAAAAAGCTTCATCAATAGGTTTAGGTTTTGCCCCAGCATTAAAACTCTGGAACAGACAGGTAGCTGAATATAAATAAGGTTGATTAGAGAGTTTTAAAACAAGATATTGATTGATGTCAAAACGACATGTTGTTCCTCGTTTTATAATCATAATTTCTTCAAGTTTTTTGGCCCTGGAACCTGGTATGTCTTATTGTCACTCATTCAATTAAACACATTCAGTCAAAACAAAGGGAAAAAAAAACACGTAAAGATAATTATTTTTCATCATGTCTGTTTAAAAGCTGTTTTGATTTATCAGTTCCCAGATTTCTAGTATGTGATCCATTTGTTTTTCAAACTTTTGTACCTTTCAAAACTGCTAATATGTTTCCTGTGTATTCTGCAAAACTTAGATGTCTTTTTTTTAATCTAAATGTTTTATGTTTGATTACAGTTGAAATTCAATATTATATTAGTTTCAGGTCTACAGCATAGTGGTTAGACATTTATATAACTCACGATAATTCCTGCACCCACCTGACACCATATTGTTATTAGACTATTATTGACTATACTGTACTTTACTGTATTTACATCCTCATGACTATTTTGTAGCTGCAAGTCTGTACTTCTTCATCCCTTTGCCTTTTTCAGCCGGTTCCCCAACCTCCCTCTCATCTGGCAACCCAGGTGAACTAAACTGAAAGCACGTAAGAACTGGGCTTTCGGAACCATCCTCCCAGGATTTCTTGTTACCTATGCAAGACATTACTGTTTGAACAAGTTCTGCTGATCTCAGCAGTGGCAAACCTTTACATCGCTTCTTTCATAAATGAAATTAAGGTTCAAGTCCTTCATTTTAATATTTTATATATTTAAATATTTGGAGATATTTACTATACAGTACATCACTCTTACATCCTCCATTCCTTATGTTAAAAACATATGCTAATTGATCCTCTCCTATGCTGATTTCGTGACAGGTTGCTAATAGGATGAGGAGTCGGAGCTCAATATAAACTCACATTTTGTGATGAAAGGAAGGTTGGGGAAGTGCCCTAGACTGCTGCCTAGGGTAAGAGAGGTCAGAAGGGACTCAATCAAAAACCAGCTTTCGGTGGAGTGCCATGGTTCCCCCAAATAGGCCAGTCTTACTGCTTCGTCATTGGCTAGGTGCAGCCTGTGGGAACCTTGTTCCTCCTCCTGGTAATTCAGCGTCAGAAGATCCCCTATGGATGGAGGTCTGCAAAGCCCATTCTCCTGGCTGCCCTATGCTCTGTGCATTCTTAAAGTCCCACATTCTCAATGCCTTCTCTGGTTACTTCAGCTCACAAGGTTGGCCAATCAAGACTTGCAGAGAAAATGAATTCTCTGGATTACTTGGCAGTAGCCATCTCTGGCTTCTATTGGTTACTTGATGTCTATATAATTGCTTTGCATTCCAGTTCTGTTCTTTGTATTTATACCCCTCCTCTCCAAATGATATTCAAAGCTCTGATTCATCAGGATTATTTTTAAACGCCTAAATCTCAATGACTGTTTATTATTATTGATTAGCAATTCTTTCAGGCATGCTCAGTAAGGAAGAAATAAGATTATGATTATTTCCACAGATAATTTGCTTAAAAATTAACACCTTAAAGCTATTAAGGACATGATGTATATGAAATGTCCTTTATATATTTACTAGAAGCCTGGTGCACGAAATCCATGCAAGGGTAGGGTCCCTCAGGGGCTGATTGGGGCCTTCCTTCCCTGGCAGCCGGCTGCCAGCCTGGGCCTTCATTCCCCGGCTGCTGGCCGGGACCTTCATGTCGTGCCGCCCCTTGGTGGGCAGCACACGTCATAGCGAGTGATCAAACTCCTGGTCTCCCCGTTGAACTCCTGTGGAGACCATTTGCATATTAGGCATATATATATATATATTTAATTTAATCAGCAACATATACTAATTAAGCATATATTGTGTGCCAGGCATGTGGGGAACACATTGATAATGCCACATAGGCCTTGTCCTCATTTTGCTTATGGGTTTAAGAAATAGACACACAATGAACAGATAAGTGCATAAAAATTATACAAGAAATAGAATTTGATATGTACAAAATGAGTGGTCCCTTGGATATTTTACACAACTACACAACTGATAGTATGAGGAAATGGAGACATGTTCATGTAAAAAACATGATTATCACAAAAAGCTGAGAAATCTGTAAGTAATGGTCATATTTTCCCTCCAGACAGGCAAACGAACCTATCTGCCTGGACCATTTCCAGGATTCCATCTCACAAAGCTTTGTGCCCTAAATGAGATAGGGATTCTATAAAGCTCAAATAGAATCAGGTTTATTTATTATTTCCTCATTCCCTTTCCCATGTTTCATTACTTAGTGCTCGGAAATACAAAGATAAAGAAGACACACTTTCCAAATGCATAATTGCTTCATTGCATGAGTGTCTACTGGTGACTGTTCCACTAGTACATAGTATTTATTTGCAATTTATTTTCTTGTTTCCACTATGTTAAACAAACAAATATTTAGTGCTCTTTACGTGCTTATTGGGAACAAATTACAAATGGATAAGATATATCTTTCCCACTCTCAAAAATGTCCCTGAAATCAGATAGCAGCTCTAACACAAAGCATTTATTAATATGATCTCATTATTTTACACAACCTTTCACTGTGATCTGCCACAAATAAGTCAGAGCTTGACTTTTACACCTGAAGAATATCTCCAAGTTAGTTATACACAAATTGCTTTGGAAAGTTAACATAGGTGATACAAATTACCTTTTTTTTTTCCTTTTAGGAAAGTCTTAATAGACATCGATACTTGAATTCTTTATTTCCTAGTGAAAATTCCACTGCCGTCTATGGAATAAATCAGTTTTCATATTTGTTTCCTGAAGAATTTAAAGGTATGGTGTAGTGATGCCATTAGTTGATTGGTTTCCTGATTTTAACTTCTTTCCTTAATTTTTGAGGAATTGTTACATTGTGAATCTAGAACATTGAGTAATAGTCAATAATTTATTAAATACTTACTAGGTACCAAGCATGGGCCAGGTGCTGACAGAAAAATAAATTCATGGTCACTCTTCTAATTATTGCTTAAGAACTAAATATTATAGACACTTCCATGTTGCTGTAAGGGACAATGAGCACATTGACTTGGTCTTTCAAACAGGTAATTTTCTGTGGCAGCTTCAGCCCTATTGTAGGAATTCTTACCTCTTATAGCTTTCAGTTGACTGCATTTCATGTTATGGAAAAGCACATAGAAAAATCATAAATGGCAGGCTCTCCTACAAAGCGAACGTTTCTTTTGGAACGTTCCTCCAAAAAAGAACCCCAAGGGGCCCTTCCTATAATCTAATATTGTTGTCTTTTCATTTCCTATTTCAGCTATTTATTTAAGAAGCAAAACTTCTAGATTCCCCCGCTACTCCCCGAAAGGGCCAATGCTCATCTCCAACATGTCTTTGCCATTAAGATTTGACTGGAGAGATAAGCATGTTGTGACACAAGTGAGAAACCAGCAGGCGGTAAGTTCTCGGGTTTTGTTCTTTTTTAATCATCTGAGCATGGGGAGTCACCGTTGAGGTCAAGCTCAATCAGACTTGTAATGGAACCCATCATTCTTCTAGGTAAAATCACACCCCAGTCATTCAATAAATGGCAGTAAAATGAGACTCTGTTGGAGTGGGAGCCAGATGTCAAAGCCCGACTTTTTCTGAGATAAGCCTTCCTTGGTGTGTTCTCTCACTAATGACCATTGCCACCAGCACACTGGCTCAGGGTGCTTCCCAGTAGCTGTGTCACAGTTTCCAAACCTTCTGTAGAGCAGCAGATGGAGGGCTGGAGAAGGTAAACTTGACTACTAAATGAGAAATGACACTGAAAAAGTAACACGATGCCATATACACTAACCGACAGTGTGGCCTGGTCTCTTAGGTTCTCAGACCTCATCCCTTGAGCTCCAGTGGAAAACCCTGTCCCCTAAAGGATTATATGCTCTTTATCTGTGACCCTTAGAAATGCAGTCTACTTTGCTATAATGTGACATATACATACATTCCTAAAAATCACCACCAGGGCAAACCCCTGCAGTAAAAACAAAAGGTGTTATAAGAGAAATTATGTTAGACTACAGCATTAAAAAAATGTGTCACACTAAGTGACACACTTTAAAAAAGAAAGTAATAAATTTGCAGCACAGGGAATGTCAGCAGACTGAGGAAAGTCAGTTACCTAACCACGTGGCTATAGTCTCAATTTATCTGCTGTGGAAACCTCAACGGTCATTCAACCTCCCCTGGTTATTTTTTTCCAATTGCAGTTGACATATAACATTATATTACTTTCAGGGGTACAACATAGTGATTAGACATTTATATAACTTACGAAGCGCTCACCTCGATAAATCTAGTACCCATCTGACAGTGCGGCAAGTATTCTGGACCCTGCAGTTTCCCCAGTCACCATTTATTTAGGGCAAGCATGTCAAATTCAAAGATTAACACGGGCCAAATAAATAAGGTTTAAGTTTATGTGGACCGCTAAAAAACACACAAAAGCTTCAATTTTCATAGAAACGTAAGTTTATTTTGATAGAGACATGCTTAATACAAAGGGCCAAAATAAATGAGTAACCGTTAACATAAAATAATAGAGCATTTTAATAAAAGTTAACATTTTTTCTTGAACATTAACTTACCAGATACTAAATAACTGCAAAACGAATAAGCATAATGCAAATAAATCTATTTTTCTTGTTCTCCAAAAGTGAGATATTCCAAACAAGTCAGTCCAAGAACTAATGATGTGGCAATCAGCTGCTAAAATATTCACTGCCAGTATTAGTGGAGAGAAATGGTGCGCCTGTGCGTAAGGCATGTAAGGGAAATGAATGCAACACAATTATAGTAATCAGTCATTAGCAAACATTGTATTTTGTTATTAATAATTATGTATAACAGGCCCTAACCGGTTTGGCTCAGTGGATAGAGCGTCGTCCTGCGGACTGAAGGGTCCCAGGTTCGATTCCAGTCAAGGTCATGTACCTTGGTTGCGGGCATATCCCCAGTAGGGAACGTGCAGGAGGCAGCTGATCGATGTTTCTCTCTCATGGATGTTTCTAACTCTCTATCTCTCTCCCTTCCTCTCTGTAAAAAATCAATAAAATATATTTAAAAAAAATAATATATAACAGGATATTGTAAAAATTAAGTTACAAAATTTTTATTCAAATGTTTCTTACATACCGTTATATTGGCTGGGCTGCAAAAATATTTGATGTGGGCCACAACAAAGCATTTGCTTTGTTACTGGATTCATAATCAAGTGCGAAATAGTCTGACATCTAATCCTCGCAGGAGTGTCTGCATTGTATTAAAGGGGAACTTTTCCTTAGGATTCTTTAATTAAAGGAGTATACTAGAGAGATATCTTTGAGCAGGCACTGCCCTCCAGGGGAAGCCAAAGGCAGGTTAACTAAAGCTAGCTATAGGTATGATGTCAGCAACCTGTCTTCACATTTATCAGTGGGTGAAGATTCTGAGGTCTAGTCCCTTAGTGAATATTTTACTAGATATGGACATAAATATGGCCACTTAAAGCCATGAAGTTGCTCAAAACTTCACTCCACTTCACTCCACAAAGACAGCCAGTTGTTCTTTCTTTCTTTGCCTAACTCTACAGCACATGGCCCTATGATTAGGATATTTCCAATCTCATTCTCATGGATCTATCTTTCTTGTGTATGATCCTTGATACTATTTGCTCTTTCTCCCTCCTTTCTTTCAGGACAACCCTTTTATTCTTTTGTTCTAGTTTGTCCAATAAAAGCAAGTAAATAGATCCAGAATCGGAAAGATTGCCAGCCAACATTTCAATGAGGAATGGCTAACATGGGTTTCTATCATTAGAACATTTCATGTGCATTTATAATTGACATATGCTGGCATATTGATAGCCTGAAATGTAACTCATTCAGCTCCTGTGTCCATCAAATAATGAGTATAACATATAAGACATACATCTTCACCCCACCTCAACTTATCACCTCCCTTGGGGCAAAGATGGTGAATGACACAGAAGCATACTATCTGGGGAGAAACAAAAGGGATTGGAGAATGGGATAGGAATTGGTATACTTCTGAGAAACAGACATCATCTATTTAATGAACTGACTTATCTTTTAAAATATCAGTTTTTTTCTCATTCTCTAAAATTTGGTTTCATCTTGCATTGTCTAATTTATAATAATGATACTACCAATTTACTTGTAACTAATCATTGGATTTTGATGCTTAAAAGAGAATTTTGTTTTTCAAATTGGAAAAGAGGATGAGCATTTCTATTGTTGTAGACCTCTAGATTCTGCCCACCTGATTTGATAACTTGTGATATTGAAAAATGTTGGTAAACTTGGTTTGAACATTGTCTGATAATAAATACTATTTTGTTTCTATTTTTAAACAGTGTGGAGGATGCTGGGCCTTCAGTGTGGTAGGGGCAGTGGAATCGGCATATGCAATAAAAGGGAAGCCTTTGGAAGACCTAAGCGTGCAGCAGGTCATTGATTGCTCATATAATAATTACGGCTGCAATGGAGGGTCGACTTTTAATGCTTTGAACTGGCTAAATAAGGTGACTAGTTTCTTTGAAACACTTTGTTTTCTCTTTTGCTTAGTTAATGTGTGCTCCGAATTCAGACAATTGATTCTCGTTTACTTAATAATGTTTTTAGAAATTTAGATAACCAAAGCTTGAATTAATCGGATTTAAAAATGAATTGCTTCTAGGCAAGTCAACCATCAAGATCAAAGGTTAGAAAATCTTACCTGAGATCTGTTTTCCAAAAATTATTTATGTTTATTTCTGAACCTTTCTTAATAGGTAAATGTGTTTTTTGTGCGTTTTTTTGTTTTGTTTTGTTTTTGCAGATACATGTCACATAGTGACCCAGAAAGGAGAGCATATGAGCATATGATTACCCATTTCCATAGAATTTGTAAATATTAAGGTTAAAAGGGACAAAGGGACAGCTAATTTAGTAACTCTTTATATAGATGAAGATGTGAGATTATATTGCCAAATCAGTAGCTGAGCCAGAATCGCACCTGTAGTCCTCTGCTTCCCATTGGGCATCCTACCCACCATGCCTCAGTGTCAGTATCCCTCAGCATTCTTAGGATACTCTGACCTTGTCCTAGATCCAGCATCAGTTGTGTGAAACCAGCCAGTGAAGGTGCTTTTATACTTTCTAAAAGGCTGTCAAGCTAGAGTTTCCCAAACTCAAACATCCTTCCCTTATTCATTTGCTAGATTTGAGTCACTGAATGCCAAAAACTTCTCTATGTTATGGGCAACAATGAGTTGCCTGTCTTCTCCCTTTCATAAGCCCAACATTCAGAAAAGGAGGACTGTGTATAAACAACTATAAACTAAGTGACATAGGCCAGATGAAAGGCACAGAGAGAAGTGGATAGAAAAAAATGCTTGACCTGACCATTGCCTGTGCATAAACCATTGTGCTGAGTGAGTCTCAAAGACTTACTAACATAGAACCAGTTGCCCTATTATAACCTCACTAGAGGCCCAATGCACAAAATTCGTGCAAAAGGGCTCGGACCTCACAGCCCCAGCTTCGCCCGGAAGGTCGTCTGGAAGGTCCTTCTGCTGTTTGGTCTAATTAGCATATTAGCTCTTTATTTTATAGGATTAGAAAGATGATAAGGCTTTATTATTATTGGATTGATAGATGTTCAAAGAAGGAAGATCTAGGAATAATAAGAATAAAGAGAATGGAAGCTAATGACTCTAATTACCTAGGATATCCATAACAACACCTAAAGATTGAATTTAAGAGCTTATTATTACCCAAAGAATACCCACATGATGAAGGTGTGGCCAAGTTGAATCCTATTATGACACATTGCACCAAGTTCTATTTAAAACAACTGCTTGACAGAGAACCTTTGGGTGATTTCTTTTAGACGCAAGTAAAACTGGTGAGAGATTCAGAATACCCATTTAAAGAACAGAACGGCCTGTGCCATTACTTTTCTGATTCACATTCTGGATTTTCAATCAAAGGTTATTCTGCACATGACTTCAGGTAAATGTCTTATTCTACTGTGCTTTCTCCCTATGTCCTAATTTATGATATATTGACTATTTGGAATTAATAACTTGATTGAAGGCTTCACTGCATGTTCATAATTGTTTTCATACCTACTTTTTACTAGAGAGACTATCAATCACCATGGAGTGCTATGGATGTTGTTCCTTAAACATGATCTACTTAGGTTTCAAAGTGTCATTACAATAGAAATTAGCTTAAATTAACACATTTAAATCCAGTGATAGGTATAATTTATATTTACCACCTTCCTCTTACCAAATTTAGGTGTCAAAATACCATTAGTATATTTTAATCTTTCTGTTGAATCAATGGAAAATTGCCTTGTATAGATGCTCCAGCTAATAGCAAGCAGTCTGCTTACCAAGAAGCATTTTGGAGCACCCTGTGTTCCTTGCATTTTCAAGGCATCAGTATACTAAAAGCATAAACTGAAACTTTGTATTAAAAACTAGGACTATATTACTGGAGGTCGATTGGGTAGCATGCCCTATATAAGCACAGGGGGTTTGGGGGGCAGATAAGGATAGGCTGAGGAAGAGGATTTGTGTCAAAACTTGAAGGGCATGTTGACTTTGGACAGGTTTAAGGGAAACGATCATTTAAAAATGCTCTCAAAGCTAGCGAGAGAACCATTGTGGCCATTTAATATAATGCAAGATAAGTGATCAGAGATGATAAGGACAAAGACTCAGCCAAAATCTGGCTTTATTTATTTATTGTTTAAAATATTGAGGGAGTCTTTCTTTTTAAAAAATATATTTTTATTGATTTCAGAGAGGAAGGGAGAGGGAGAAAGATATAGAAACATCAATGATGCTAGAGAATCATTGATTGGTGCCTCCTGCATGCCCCCATACTGGGGATTGAGCCCACAGTTGGGCACATGCCCTGACCAGGAATTGAACCCTGACCTCCTGGTTCATAGGTTGACACTCACCCACTAAGCCAAACCGGCTGGGCTTTGCACAGTCTTTTGAAACAGAACACAGAGAAATTACATTAAATTCAGATGAGATGATAGACGGACCTCTAAGTTCCTGGTACTGAATATAAAAGAATCTCTTCATCCAGATAGTGTCTGCCCATAGGATATGAAGGGAATCAAGGGTGAAAATGGACCCTTGAAGCAAATGGAACCCCTGTGAATAACATAAGTGTGTCAGAGGCTTGGCGGGTTGTCAGCAGAGCTCTTGTCCACAACAGGGGCTCTCAGGGGACTCCAGGAACCATATAGCAGAAAGTTTCAATTCCACAGATGGCAGGCTGTGCTGGATCTATAATAAAAGGTGCAGGGTCACTGAGTACAGCGGTCAGCATCTCCTTTGTGGGCAAAGGTAACACAGTTTCTAAAATGAGAAAGTGTGCTTCTGTGAGCTCTCAGCTCCTTGAGAGTATAAGTGAAGTGTGTGTGTAAGAAGGAATCAGATGTTCAAAATGTCACTAGAAAAAGATTCAGGGAATCCCTTGTCATGGGTAGTTAATGGAGAAAGTTAGAAAGAAACAAAAGAACAAGAGGCAATAGCCTGGGTTGGAGAGTGAGAAGAAAGAGAATGCAAAGGTCACTGCAATTGGCCTGAAACAGGATTTATCCAACCTTTTGATTAAAAAGGAAGAGATCCCCCGAAGAATCTCTGTGTTTACACTGAACATTAAACTCTCTAATAATACAATGCTAAGCTAACTGTGATAGAGTGGGCAAGACCTTTCGTTGATTTCTTCATTCACTCACTCAAATTGCTACTGAACACTTTTTTTTAGGTTATGGGGTCCGGCAGTGAACAGAACAGACAGAAACCCTTCCTTGGGACTATATTTTAGTGATAGAGACAGGCAAAAAACAACACAAGTGAAAATATGTATGGTATGTTAGATGTAATAATTTCTAAAGAGAACAAAATAAAACCGTTGGGAGGAAGAGGAAACATCAGGGTGAGGGGAGAGGAGCACACAATTTTATAAAGTGTGACGAGGGAGGGCTCCCTGAGAACATGCCATTTGAGTAAAGACCTGAAGAAGTGTGGGAACTTAACCAGTAGATATCCGAGGAAATACTATTCCAAGCAGAAGGAACTGTAAGTGCAAAGGCCCTGAGAATATGTCTGACATTTTTAAAGGACAGTGACTGTAGTGAAGAGAAAATGGAGTAGACTAGTGGGAGATGGTTATTCAGGAATAAACTTAAAGCAGAATGTTAGAAAAACAGCCTTGGACATGAGAGAATAGAGCCCACTAGATATATTGGGGAATTTTATAGAGGAGATAAGTAGGAGAGTCAAGGATGACTACAAACTTTTTGGCCTGAACGACTGAAAGAATGGAATTGAGGCATGAACCTCTGAGGAACAGATTTAAGATGGAATATGGAGAGTTCAGTTGGGACGTGTAGGAAGTGACCCTGGGAACCACTGGTAGAGGAATAGGGAGATGAGATAGAACAGGGGAAAACGGGGTTTCTTTATTAAGCAAATTAGTACTGAGGGTACGCTGGAAGTTGATCCTACTGAGGAACTCTTGAGGCCAAGGTAAAATAAATCTCAGAGTTAGCCAAAGCAAGTTGATTTTCATCACCTCCTAAGATTTACTAGTTGAGGGTATGGCTGGGGTCTAAGTGGCTATGGGCTTTTTGAGAGAGAAGGGCCTCGGGTAAAGAGTTGCAGGGTTTCCTTGTTGGAAGCCCAGTGTCAGGACCAGAAGATGTGGGAAGTTCTTCCCAGCATCTGCCACGATGAGGCATATAGTTTTCCCACCTTCCTTATTTAAAAAGTGCCTGTGTGATAGCTGGACGCTATGCCAGCCAATTGCAAAACTCCACCATTGTCCTTGAAGCTAGACTTAGCCATATGACTAAATTCTAGCCAATGAGATCCATTCAGATATATGCAGAATGTGTGTGTTATTTCTGGGAAATCTTCTCAACAGGAATGCAGCACCTCTCCTTTCTACTCCCTGCTGAAAGGAATATATGTTAAATGGCTGGAGCTCCTGAAGCCATCTTGGACCATTCATTGAACTTGGGAATGGACACCTCACATGGCAGAATAATAGCATAAGAGGAGCCTGGGTTCTTGATATCTATTGCAGTCCTGGACTACCAGTCTCCCAGACTTCTTGTAGCCTCCATTGTTTAAGTCTTTTGTAATTGCAACCAAACCTATGTGTATCCATACAGAGATTAAAGAGATCGTTTTAATACAATATTCTTACCTTAAAAACTAAACTCCTTAACCAAATATTTTCTCTTTTGGTAGTGACCAAGAAGACGAAATGGCAAAAGCACTCCTTACCTTTGGTCCTTTGGTAGGGATAGTAGATGCAGTGAGCTGGCAAGATTATCTGGGAGGAATAATACAGCATCACTGCTCTAGTGGAGAAGCAAATCATGCTATTATCATAACTGGGTTTGATAAAACAGGTAAGTGCTGATAAGACTTGATTGATTGCTTTTCAGCTTAAGGTGATTGACAAATCACCTTAACCATATAAAAAGTTAAAATGTGGTCGTATATCTAAGTCCTCCTAAGACCTTTACTACTTTTCAGTAGACTTCTGGGTATAAATAACCCCATTGTGTTCCTCCTTATCAATTTTGGTGGATAACTTGTTAGAATGATAATTACTGATTTAAATAATGTGCATTTTCCATCTGAAGTATTTAGGATAATTGTTGGGAAAATAGAAGTGCCTATTGTTTTATCATACATATCTAACAATTATTCTTCCCTGTTTCTAATGCCCTGGAAATGTGTGTGTTTTCATTCTGTGCAAGTTCCGTATTAAGTGAAATGAATTCAAACATATTTTTCCAATAATTGGAGTGTGGCACTAAGTACAGCTCAAGTTTACTTAGCTAGCTTAAGTTAGCATTCTATTACAGTTTTAATCATTTTGTTAAAGCTACTAACACTGATCAAGAAATAAAGTAAACATGCATTCACGCAAATGTGAGTTTTTTGGGGTTTGTTGCCAATTTTTGTTTTGCAGGAACTACTCCATATTGGATTGTACGGAACTCATGGGGAAGTTCCTGGGGAGTGGATGGCTATGCCCGTGTGAAAATGGGAAGTAATATTTGCGGTGAGTCATGAATTTGTGTTTAAAGCTCCAGCCTAAGTGTCAAGGAAGATATTCTGAATATATTAAAATTATAAACCTGTCCAATCCATAGTATGCTTCCAACATACTCACATCACTTAAAAATTGATAAAAATAGAATAGTTTTTTAAAGAAGAGACACTATTGCACATATTCATGCTTTAAAAAGGAAGAAAGACTGTAGTAAAAACAAATATAATAAGCAAAACATAATAAGATAAACTAATAATTTACCAAAGTTAACTACTTCAAAATCCAGAGGCTTTTGGATTTAAAAATACTCAACTTAGGAGGCTGAAGTTCTCCAAAAAGTCCCCTCGTTCCAATTTTACTTGTTATAACTGTATGAGTTTTTCTTAATTTGTGCATTAATAATACTTGCACAAAGATTGTCAAGCATCACTTTTTCTTTGGATAAAAATTTATGAAATGTATGAAAAAAGTATTAGGATTGTTTCTGATTTAATCTTCTCCTCTTTACCTGCAAAATTCTAATGTAGCACCCATGAATGGAGAAGCTTAAGCAAATACCAAATGTGCTCTTTTATAGAATAACAGTTTTTTTGTGTGTTAACCATAAACCAAATTAAAATAGCTAGGTAAGTACTTTCAACTGTATTCTAAAACTTATATCCAAACCTGTATTCTACAATTTTTGATCTGGAAAATCAACATATTTTCTGAATCAAGTTAGAATGAAACTATATTGCATATGAGAGCAATAGTTTACTTTTCTCACTATAATTATTTCTAGCATACAAATAAGTTTTTTAAAAAATTGTAGAACACTATAAACTGTGAGACTGGTAAAGGAGAGTTATAGAAGGTTTGGGAGTTTATGTTTTGACTCAATTAGTGAGTACTACCAAATGGTTCCATAAAGTAGAATTCATGAGAATTCGTAAATGGCCTGTTTTATCACCCCAGTAAAATATTTACATCAATTACTTATTGAAGAGAACAAACATCATAGAAATCTTTAAGCCAAAGTGCTAGCAACCCAATCAAGGCCCCACCTTATAACATCATTTGGAGCTTTTACATTGCTAGAACATCCAGATAAATTACTCCTGCCATTCATTGAACCTTTGAAACTAAACATAAATTATTTCTAACTATGATGCCTGGGTCTGGGCTAACAGGTGGCAGTTTTCAAAGCCTGGCTCAGTGGTTGAGTTTCCACCTAAGAACCAAGAGGTACGCTCGATTCCTGGTTGGGGCACTTGCTTGGGTGGCAGGCTCCATCCACAGTGCGGGGTGTGCAAGAAGCGGCCAGTCAATGATTCTCTCTCATTGATGTTTCCCTCTCTTTTCCTCTCTGAAATCAATAAAAATATACATTTAAAAAAAAGCTCTGGCAGGAGAGTTACAAGAACATAATTCAGACATTGGTTCATAGTTGCCTCGATTATGACTCTGCATTCCCCACTACCACCTTTTCCCTGGCCCCCAGCTCTACTGAGGATGAGTTGGAATAATTTCTTCTCTCTGTTTCCCAATTTGATTCTCCAAAGGCATGACTAGTTAGTAATTACACAGAGTCCAAATTCTTCCTGAAAGTATTTGGTGATCACATTACTCTTCAGAACAATGGTGAAAGTATTTGGTGATGACATGACTCTTAAGAACAATGGTTTAAGATAAATAGCGTTTCATGGCCCCGAGAGATTTCAAAATATAGCTATTTACAGTGAAATCCAGCCTTGAATGAGCTATTTATTGCTTTCACCACAATATTGAGATTTATGTTCTTGTGTGCTAAGAAAGCATAGTACACGTGATTTATTGAATTTTTGCTAATTAAAGTTCAAATCTTAAAAGTTTGCAAATTTTATTTAAAATATTTCTGTAAATTATTATATCATCTCTAAACTATATGTATGTAGTAAAGAGTGCACATACCTTTACCTATTCAGTTAGTAAGTCATTTTATGTGTTTTTGTGTATGTGTTTTTGTAGTTTCTTGAAACAAAAATATTAGTTATATCTTCCAATATCTGCTTTTAAATTGCCATGTTTATACTGACAGCTATAACTGTTAAATTATTTTCTTAGTAATTGCTAACTTTTTCTCAACCCAAATGAACATCGTTTTAATTTGCTATTTACAAGGCATATAAAGAAGAAATAGACTCCTATTAATAATTTCTTTTTTCTTAGGTATTGCAGATTTTGTTTCTGCAGTATTTGTATGATTAATTGATCGGATCAAGAGACAACTACCAAAATGAAGGTTCCTAATGAAATATAGCATGGTACTTCATTCTCAACATTATTCACCTTTAGGTTTTAGCAACTAACCACAACAGGTTCTAGGGCCTAGTAGAATTTAAGCCGAGTTACGGCATGTCCCCTTCTTATAAAGAGATGGGCAACATAGTCAGTAGGAAGAACACCAGCACCATGGCCTGGGAAACAGTTTCCTACTCCGGAGTGAATGTTAGTTTAAGATATTTTAGGTCTCTTTACTTTGAAGAGGCTATTATCTGGTTTTGTTTAATTGCTGTTATTGTTTGTTTTTTACTTGTTTATTTTCAATGTCATTAAAGAGCTGATAAGAATTTATTTTCCTTGTGAGATATAATTACTGCCTTAGCTTACCCCTACATACAAGAACAGCCAACCTAAAGTCATGTGTGCCTCTCACAATTATACTCTTAGCCCTCTGAGGTGAAATGTCATAAGGATTTTGAAATACCAATAGCTTTACCTCAAAAAATAGTATTTACTCCTTGAATTGTAGAAAGATTGTGAAGTAAAAAACAAAAGGACAAGATCACTTTTTAAGAGATGGAAATTAAATGACAATAAATTATATGGCAATTATGTGATAAGAAGAACTCAACTAGCATCGCCTGAGAAAAGATTATTATTTCGCAATTTTCATTGTCAATATAGGATTCCAATAGACTTCATTTCCTTACTTTGATCTCTTTATATTGAAGGACAATGTTTTCTTCCACATTTTCCTACTCTCTTTTTCTTGCTCTTTACTGGGCCACTCCTAAATTCTCCTGGTGGATTGACTTCCCCGGCTAAGAAGTCTTTATTTCTTTTGATTCATCTAAGCCACCAACATCGGGCGCTCACCTTTCTCTTCCTCCCATTGTTTGTAGGCAACACCCCTTTCAAAGTCTACTGCCATTAATCTGGGGTATTAGCCAGAATGTGAGTTTCTCAGGCTCTCTGTTTTGTGTGGTGTGTGTGTGTGTGTGTGTGTGTGTGTGTGTGTGTGTGTGTTTGTTTTGTGGTTGTTTTGTTTGTTTGTTTTTCAGTTTTCTGCTTATGTTTCCAGGAATCCCATTCTAACTACTTTTTTTGTGTGTGCATCCGTTTGGCTTTGACCTGGTTCCTGGTTCTTCATGCCCATGTTCTCTCTTTTGCCTAAGTAATTATGTGTGCCTGTGTAAGAACCTCAGAGCAGAAGAGCTGATCTTTTGATTTTACAACTATATTAAATGAGTTATATGAGAATATAAGAAAATCTAATAAATACTACGTATGTAAGTTCTTCTCTAAAATTCATGGTCACTTTCTAATGTAAAATATATAAACAAACAAAAAACCCCACAAAGTTTTAAATGTAGCAGCAACCACTGAAATAATTGAGAACATCCTATTTTTCCTTTTTTTCCCTTTTTGCTTTTAGTTATCCATCCTTTTTATTAGAAAAGTAAAATAAAAAAACAAAACACTGCATTTCTTTTTCTTACACCAACCAGAACCAATATCAAAAGATTATGTGTTGACTCAGGTTTAGAAATGCTCCAGGAAGACAAACATTGATAGTTTAATTGATTAATATTCTTATTGTCTAAGTTTACCAAAATGGAATTGTATCTGTGTTCATTTACTGATTTCTATGTAACATAAATGCTTTTTGATACTCTTTTTCAAATACTAACCATTTTTTATTACAAAGTAATATTTCTCAGCTGCTCTGAATTTTGGTGACATTTATAATAAAACAACCTATATTTGACTTTGGGTTAAGAAGACTGTGTCCAGAAGTGCATGGCTTACATTTTGTGAGCACAATGTTAATGTGCTTTGCACTCACACAAGAGTTTGTTCAGTTCCAAATCCACATACTTACTTTTTGGTTTTCTCCACAGACACTTTAACCTCAGTGTCTCCAATAAACAACAACAAACAAACAACAACAACAACAAAAATACCTCCCACACCTCCTAGAGTCTCTATTTTGGTTAATGGCATCAACATTATGTAATCCCCCAATCAGTAAAATTGAGGGACATCTTAGATATTTAATCAGTCAGATATACCTTAGTAGCTGATCACCTAGTCACCTGCCTCCTCTCCATTTCTACTGGTCCTTTCCGGATGCATGTTCTTTAGTATCTACATCTCCACCATTTAGCAGTCAACCCAATAAACCCATGTTCCTGAAACTAGTGGTTCTCAAAGTATAGCCTCCAGACCAGAAGACACCTGAGGCTTTGGGAAACACTTTGTTTTAATCAGCCCTGCAGGTGATTCTGATGGGTGTCCTTATAATCCATCTACTGTGTGTCCCCAGGATTTACATTTCTTAAAGAGAATGTTAGCAAGTTACTCCCCTGTTGCTTCAAAGATAACATGCTAACTCTTTTAAATGAGCTCTCATGGAGAAGTCCCTCTCTACCTTCTCAGCTCAGTTTCTGCTCTTCTATATCGACAGCAGCTGTGCTCCAGCCATCACAGACTTACTTGGAGTTCACCCAAGGAGGCTAAGACAAAAGCAAAAAAATCTTCACATAATAATTAGGCTTCATAATGAAAATGACCAAGATGACCCTGGATATGATTTCACAAAGACCTGAAAGTGAATGCCAAATTGGGCAACCTTACAATTACTTTGTGACCACTTAAGAGTTATTATTTAACGTGGATTGTCAGCACTAGAAGCAAGTTTGATGAATGGAGACAAGGGTAGAAACTGTCATTGCAAATTGTGTTGATATGTACATTAAGAATTACTAATATATCCTTTGGAAAAAAACTATTTAGCTTTGTAACACCAAGAAATATAGGTGAAAATAATTAAATTGAGGTATTTAGCCTGTTAAAGGAATAAACCTTGACAAATAGCATTGATTCCAAGCTATCTTGGTGACAGAACACCTATTAATATATTGATGAATATTAATATATTCATTATTTTATGAAAAAAGCAGACTATGAGAATTTTATCTCCATTAAAAATAGATAGGAAACGGGCTTAACCTAGTGTTTGCAGCAAAGTAATTAGTTAAAAATGGCAGAGACAGAATTTGCTGATTTAGCTACCATGTTACTCATCTCTTTTTTTTTCCAGCTTAACTATCACCAGGAACTATGTACATGTGCACGCGCACACACATGCCCTGTAGGCAAAAGCAATATGATCTTTTATGAGAAAAAAATGTGTAATTGAGACTAAAGAATAGTTCAATTCCAACAAGAACTTGCTACCCTAGGTCAAAGTTAGACATTTTAGATTTCTTTGATAATATTTTGTACTCCCCTCATAGAAAAATGTAATGAAATGTTGCCAATATCCAGAGCAAGCTAGAAAAAAAGAGGACTAAAACTCATGTCTGATCCAAACGCTTAGTCTAATAATTACTAGCAATGAACTGGGTCATTGTTAGTCTGTTTACCTCCCCTTTCTTTCTCCTGGAAAGAACATTCTTCACTTGAGGGAACGCTCATCCCTACCTCAAACCTGCTGTGCACTGGAGTAGACTGTACCTCCCAGACCACAGCTGTGGGTGACTTTGGATACAGTCACTCTGAGAAGAGTGACTTTGCCCTTCTGGGAGTAGAGAGATGCTAGGATTGAGACCCAACCTGTGGGAGGAGGAGTGGGTCTACATCAGGGAACAATAAAGCCAGCATCTGCAGAGAAGACATGAGACACAGAAGATCCTCAGAGTGTTCCAGGAAGAAAGTACTTGAGGAACTGGCTCCACCCCTGTGGCCTTAGAGCTCCACTGGCTCCTCTAGTTCTTTATGCTAGGGGAGTGACTGTCCAGTGAATGCCCTTAGGACAAGCTTCACATAGATTTCTGTTGCTCTCCAAGTGTCCTAATAAATGCAAGCAATGTTTTGTTTTCAAACTAATATATTACAGAAAGAATAATTTTTATTACTCAAAAATTTTTATTGAATAAGTTTATATAGAATGACACATTTTATTCCATTAAATATTTTAAATACAGTGGGGCCTTGACTTACGAGTTTAATTCGTTCCGTGACGGAGCTCATAACTCAAATTACTCTTATGTCAAATCACTGTGACGTTCGCTGCGCCAACTAGCAGTGGGGTATCTGAAGCTGGCTCATAACCCGAATTTTTTGGAGCTTGCAACTCAAAGCAAAAAATCGGCTGAGAGACGGCTCATATCTCAAAAAAACTCGTTAGTAGGGACACGCGTAAGTCAAGGCCCCACTGTAGCTGAAGTTTACAAGCTTATAAAATATGGAACAATGAGATAATGATTAGGTTAAATGGTTACATTAAGGTAAGTGTCAGAGGACAAATACATTTTTAATAGGAAAAGACCATATGTACAATGTAACAGTGTCACTGAATTCATTTCTTAGTGTTTTGTATCATCACAGAAATGCTAGTCTTACCTTAAACATCTTAAACATTCAAATAAATGAAATAAAATTCTTTCCAGGGTTGAATCAAAGCACCACAGTGTTTTACTACATATATACATATATTATCTTAGAAGTCTGCGTATTCATGAAAATCCATAGGAAAAACCCCACAGAAATCAGTGCTCTTCATAGACTTTGCAGATAATTTTAATCTGATTCTTCACTGCTGAAGTAAGAGCTGTCACAATATTCAGTCGTGTAAAGAAATTTACGAGTAATTGGGTTCATCTTCGGTATCCAGTGTCGGGGAATCAGAAATGTTGAAAGATTAAATAAATCTACAAATACCTTGTACCTATCACTGGAAAAACATAGACAGATGTTTTAGATTTGTTGAAATGAAATATTTTAAAATTTTAATTTTATTTCTCAAAGAATATTTTGCCATGAATAACTAGTATTCAATATTATATTTAATATTACATATTGTATATATCATATTATATTAAGTGCTATTAGTATTAAGATTGCCCCATTTTTTATTTTTTATCCAGAGTTCATATAGACCATATTATTGATCCGACCAGGCTGGTTCAAATTAAAACCTAGACTTATTATTGTCTCATGTCGAACTTTTAAAGAACAGTATGCAAAATAATAAAATTAAAGCATCCAGAGTTTTTAGTCCTTCATTAGAAAATATTTCCCACCTGAAAAGTAGCTGCCAAGTAACTGACATAAATGAATTTATAAATCGAAATGCCATCTTAGATTTATAATGTGTCCAACAGAATATTCTTGACACTAAAAATTGCTTTTGTGTTTGTTAGTCAACTATTTTAACTGTTGCAGTTTTATAGTGGAAGAGCATTTGCTTTTGAAGTCAAATTTGGGTTCAAATTCTGTTCTGTCACTTGCAACTCCTACAACCTTGGACGAGTTGTCTAAACCTCAGTGTCTTGGTTTCTAACTCTCTAAAATAAAAACTACAATCCTTGCCTCTGGCCAGGCCTTTGTGAAGATTTGATGAGATAATGACACACGAGAGATGCTGTTAATTAGCATTAATTATTCCCACCACTGATGTGTGTGCTCATTTCGCACAATCATTTTTTCTTATATATTTACAGAACTTATTCCGGGAAAGAGAAAATATATAATGGTTGTGAAAATTTATACCAATGAATTTTCTAAATCATTCAACCTAGAGTTTCTTCCCAGGGAAAGTGGAAGTATAAAAATGATGAAAAATTGAACCTGTGCATTTTATACCTTAGCCAATTAGGAATAAAAACAATGCACTATAAGGAATTTTGGAGACTAAAGGGGACTATATAACATGTTCTTGATCCGATTATCTTTTCTCAAAGGGCTTGTAAGTTCCTCAGTTTTCGGATGCATCTATCTATGTATCCTTCTATCTATAAGGCTGTGAATATTAAATAAAATAAGAACACAAATATCCTAGAAATATCTCTACCATGTTTTAAATGCTCAGTAAACATTGACCCTTTTCTTGTAAAAATTTGAAAAGGGCACTCCCTGGAGTAGATAGAAGTAGTTTTCATGCTATAATATAGAGTCCTATCAGGAAATAAGAAACTGAATTTTATCTGGATCACTCATCTCACCAAGAGTACATTAGTGGACTTAATGATAACTATTTTAATCTAGTCCAAACTTGAGCCAGAATGAGTTGACATTTTCTACCTGTATTAACTCTTTCATGCCCTCACAAGCATTGGTACCATGACCCTGTTCATCACAAGATGAAAATAATAAACTTCCAGAACTAAGAATTTATACGATGATCTCCAAAATTTCTAATAGGAATGTCTTAATCTCACTACAAATGTGTTGTCCGCAGACAAGAGCAAGTATAAATGACTTTTCCTAGATAATGCCACATATACATGGAGAAACAAAACCTTGGTGATTTCCACCAAGATAAAAAGGTGCGTTTCCCCCATCTTACCTTACTGTTGAGCGCAGGTACTGGTAGCCTGAGGACCCACCAGTGCCGGCTTTGCTGCCCAGCATTCTGTGCACCAGGCACACGTGGTTATCTAGGCAAACACACAAATTAACTCCATGAGTATTTTTCTAAAACCAGGAGTTGATAATGATGATTGCTTCTGAGAAAAAGGCTCACCCCTTATCACTTAGCCATATGGAAGGTTCACCTGTGAGAGCCACATGAGGCCAGCAGGTTGCCTGGCACCCCACTTGGTTCAGCACCCCATTTGACTCCATCCATATTTACATTTAGCCTATAAACAGCATAGGGAAGAGTGGGGCCATAGTTCAATTTTAATGAGCTCTGGTTATTTTGCTTCTCTGGGCTTCTTATATTTTTGAGTTGTATTGTCATAAAAATAAATAAATTACTATTATATATTTAAAAATTTTCCTTGGACCTAAAGTTTATTTTTTCCTTCTGATTATAAAATAAAATATCTTTTTTTAAGCCTACAGCACCGGGTATTCCCAGACCAAATAAAATATCTTAATGGGCTCCCAACGTTACTGTGGGCTCTAGGTACTGTGCCACTTGTGCATTGGATGAATAGACCCTCGGGGAGGATAATTGTCAAGCTGATTAAAAAAAAAGAAAGAAAAGAAACTCACAGAAAAGATGGAAGAAAAGAAAGAGGGTGGACAGGAGAAAAGGAGTAAAGGAACCAGATCAGGGGAGAAGAGTTATAGAGGGGGGGAGGGAGGAGGGGGAGGACTTACATCTCCATTTGGTCATGAGTGTGTCTATTTCCATAAGAGAAGTCAGCAACTGGAAAGCGACCTGGAATCGAGGTTCTTCCCTAAAGGAAAAATAAAACAAAGGAATATATTCAAGCAAATCCAGTGTGTTAGGAAGTGCATGGCTTTTATCATCTGTTGGCCCTGGAAACACATATCAACTTTGCTCTTAGGAATTGTGCCATCATCTCTGGATTACCCAATCACTCTTATTTCTTCATCTCAAAAATGGGGATACTACCCCTCAATTTACAGCATTTGTTTAAAGAGTCTAGAATATTCCATGTTATATGTATATATATATATATATATACCAGCCAGAGTCACACCTAATATCGAATCTCATTAAAAGGCAGTCAGATACCCTATCTCAGATTTCCCAGCTAATAGAGTAAAAAAGTTTTTCCAGACAAAGATATTTATAACAAAATAAATACTGCATATGTATATACACATATATATGTATATAT